GCTCCACAAAAATAAAAGTTATTTAAAAATGTTATCATGTGAACATCAGTCCTGACATACTAAGTGAAAGAAAAAAAAAAGATCCCAATATATGTAATATTTGCAGCTACTGAGGAGAGGCCCAAGAATGAGAGGAAAACAGGGGCAAAGCCTTTTGAGGCCAGACTTCTTGACTTAAATCCTAGTTCTCCTGCCTGCTCACTAGCTCTAAAATCTTGAGCAAGTCACATGATATTCCTGAGCCTCAGTTTCTTCATCTATAAAATGAATTTCATAATTTGGGGGAGGAGAAAGAGAAAAACTTAGGACAGTGACTGGCACAGGCTAAGCACTGTATACTGTGTGTGTGTGTGTGTGTGTGTGTGTGTATACAAGTTATTTGTTTTTATGGCAACTTTTTAGCTATCTAATGCAAAATATGAATCATGGTTCTTTTTCTGGGTCTTAAATTATGGAATCTAAGAATTGTCTAAATTCACCAATTCAGTTAGTATTAAAGCAATGGAATGATATGTTTGGTCAGCTTGTAAATATAAAGATCAACCTGAGCCATAGTTTGACCCCTAAGCCACTTACATTTAATGATACAAACACTCAGGGATTACCAAGGGTCAGAGAAACCAAGTAGGTGTAAAACATGGAGTTCTCAGAAAGATGTACCTGTAATCTCTATCAGGAGAAATACTTTCCACGCTGAGGGTCACAGTGCATTAGTATGTTACGAAATCAGTTTCATGATTTGCAACCAGTGTTTTTTTGAAAAATGAAATAGACTAGAATATATCAGAGTATAGGGGTTTAAGGTAGTATTGTTTTCTGAATTTTTGTTTCAGCTGTTTGTGCGTGTGTGTGTGAGTGTGTATGTGTTTGAGATAGAAAGAGAGAAAGACACTTTCCTACCTCACTTTACAAAAAATCAGAAGTTAGAAGTCTCATCCTTTGGCTTTTGCTTCAGAAATATTTCAAATGTAGACTCTCCCCTTTCCCACACTGTCCTTTATGCAAATCCTTTGGCAACCCGAGACTACTGCAACAGACTCCCAAGCTGGGCCTTCTCACTAATGATTTATGCAATAAATCTAAACCCAAGACAACTACAACAATAACAATACAACAAACTCTCCAATTAAAAAACCTCTAATGGCTCCCTGGCTCACAGAAGAACTACCAAATTTCTCACACAAGTATCTGGGGAGCTTCACAAAATGGCCCTTATAAAGAGTTTCCCTTTGCTGAAACCCTAACGCTCTAGTCATCCTACACTGCTCCCTCAGCATTCTCCAGAAAGGCCTTGGCCTTTATAAGCAAACTCTTAACTCCAGACTTCTCATAAAGGCCAGTCAGAGCTCAGGGGAGCATACTGGACATTTTCCCAACAACCCTTTTCCCACAGGTCTACAGCCACACTTGCCAGCCCAGTCTTAGATATCAGGTTCTGTGAGTTCCACTGGGTTTCCACTGGGTTCTTCAGGCGAGGGTTCCTGCCTCAAGTTTTATAGTTCATTGAGGGGAGGGACTGTGTCTGTTTATCTGAGAGAAAAGGAGAATGGAGGGGTGTTGAATTAATGAAACCAGAAACAAAACTCAATTGAGGACACCAGACCTGAGGGTGGCCTCATTTGGGCCAAGCAAATACCATCCTTGAGTCTTCTATAAAGCTACAGAGGCAGGGAAGTGGCTTTAATCACAGACAACCCATGTGCCTTGTAAAGTCTGGTTTATTAGATTGCCCTTACCTAAATAAGGTCATTCTCTGTAATTTTTAGACAATTCTATAAATATAACTTATGTAGTGAGACAGCTAAGAGATCTGTGTTACTTCCCTCACATACATAAATTATTTTCAATAAAATCATGGTGTGAATAATTCATTTTCTTCACCCATTGGAAGCCACCCATTTAGAAGACCACTCAGAAGAGATGAGATAAGTCTCCTGCAAAAAATTCCTTTTGCTTTTACAAGGAAAAGAGGAAGTTTTGTCCTTGGCCTTGAATTTGGCGGAAAATAGAGGGCTTTCTTGAATAGTTTTGGCGTGCAGGGTCACTTTTCATTAAAAGGTGAAAAGATATGTAAAATCTGAGTCCCCATGTATCATCCAGCAGTAGAACCCGGGAGATTAGGTACAGAGGAGTTTTGTAGGATTCAATTTTTCAGGGTAAAAGAAACACAAATGCTCCTCCTCTGAGGGGCGGGGCGGTGCCTAGGCAATGCACCAATCACAGCGCGCCCTGCCCTATATAAGGCCCTGAAGCCCGACGGCAATCTACACTTCTCAGTGTTTATTACATTCTGCTCTTTGGTGCTGGGATGTCTGAAACGGCACCTCCAGCCCTAGCCTGTCCTGTTCCAGCTTCTATGGAGAAATGTCCTGCCAAGAAGCGAGGGAAGAAAGCAGTTCGTCTGTTGGGCCCAAATCGCAAGGCCCCAAGTCCTTCTGTGTCTAAGTTGATCATTGAAGCTCTGTCTGTGACACACGACCGAGTAGGCATGTCGCTGGCTGCGCTCAAGAAGGCGCTGGCGGCCGCTGGCTATGACGTGGAGAAAAATAACGGCCGTATCAAGCTAGGCCTTAAAAGTTTAGTGAGCAAGGGGGTTTTGGTGCAGACCAGGGGTACCGGTGCCTCTGGCTCCTTCAAGCTCAGCAAGAAGGCTGCTCCTGAACCCACCAAGGGCAAGGTCAAGAGGTCAACTTCTAACAAGACCAAAAAGTTGGTTTTATCCAGGGATTCGAAACCACCAAAGAGTGTTAAGACCAATAAGAAAGCCAAGAAGCCAAGGGCAGCAGCAGCTAAAAAAGCTGTGAGGAGCGGAAGGAAGGCTAAAGGAGCCACGACCAAGCAACAGCAGAAGAGCCCAGCAAAGGCGAGGCCTGGGAAGCCCAAGGCAGCGAAGCCAAAATTGACCCAGCATGAAGCCAATCCTAGAAAGGCTACATCTAAAAAGTGAAGAGCTTCCTCATGCAAATTTCCAAAGAACCCAAAGGCTCTTTTAAGAGCCACCCAAGTAACTTCGAAAGGGTGTGACACTGGAAACTTCTATAACAAAAGTTAAACTGTGAAGGGGTAAAATAAATGGTCTCCTGTTAACATACATAATGTAGACCTACAGAGGTCCAGGAACTAGAATACTTCGATGTGCAATCCAGAGAACCTAGTTTGTGTTCTGGAATAGGACTTGTCTCTAAATTCTGGAAATACCAGTGTTACGGAAGGGAGTGGAATTTATTTGCCCAAATACACATGGCTTGATTTGGTTATTTATTTTTGTATTTATTTTTAAAATTTAAGTGCTGCATTCCAGTCTGCATTTTCCTGTGGTGCCGTTATAACAGGTTTCTTAACGTGGTGTACACGGACTTTAAAGGAGGTTTTTGAACCCTTACAGCGTCGCAGAATATGCGTCAGGGAATTTTTTTTTATACCTCTTTGTACTAACCTTTACCTGAAATTTAGAATTTTCTAACATTGATGGGACTTACAGAAATCAAATATTTTCAGAAATCACAAATATTTTCAGTAAAGTTAGAAGAATCTTGAAAGTGTTTATGCTCATTATTTCCAAAATACCATTGTTACTACGTTTTATGATATGTTAGCAAAGATGCACATATTACTGTCATGTTTTTAAAATGATTTAATAATTATTTTAATACCATTGTAATCCTATGTATTATTTTATGTATTATATTTACGAAAAGAGTCTATAGGCTTCATCTGACCCCCAGAGTGCTTCATGGGCTGAAAAAATGTTAAGAACCCAGAACCTTTATGGAAATGTTTGAGGCTGCACAGTTAGGGTCTGAATTCAACCTTCCTAAATCACAAAAATTCTATTAGGAAAATCTGGGTCCGAGCTAAAGTACCTGTCTCTTAAATTTTAAACAAAACTAGTTTCACTTTTCCTTTAATTTCTTCTATAGCATTTTTACTTAACGATTGTCATAAACATTAAAATTATACTAATGTTAATCTATTTTGGGTTGTATTTGGGGCGACTTTGAACAAAGCCCATTGCAAAACTATGCAGTGCATTATTTCATATATGAACATGTCCAAATGGTTCAATAGGGCCTCGCCTTTCTAGACTCATTTGTATAATTAGGCCTCTTAAAAAAAAGTGTCCTAAAATAGAAAACAGCACGTCCCTTGCTTGGATATATTAATAATAGCCATTGTTTCTCTATGAGATTAGAGTTGTGAGGATGTTGCAAGAGTATGTTTCACTTGCCTGACGAGGAAGTGAGCCCTTCTAACTGGTGTGTCCAGCAGTGGGCTGACTCCAGACCCTCATCACAGACGATGAGGATGAAAGACTGGCCTCGCCCAGCAGCTTACCAGTCTCCCAGCACTATGGAAATACCTAGACAGGGCTTCGTGAACCTTTGTTCCTCTCACCTTCCGGCACCTGGCATGAGTTGGGTTAAAAACAGAACCAGCCACAGTTCTGCCTCCAGTTCGGCATAGGGGGTGGAAGTGGAGGGGTGGGGAGTTGGCTATTAGACCCCTTTGTTTTGGACAATAGTTAAATAACGGTCATAAAATCCATTCCTTTTCGCTACGCTAAACTATTTCTAATCTAATGATTGTCCCTAAACAGGCTTCATCTACATAGCTGCATCCTATGATCCAAACGGTGAGGACCTTTAGGCATCATATGCCTCAAACAATCCAACTACAAAGTACAGTTCTTGCAACGCTCTCAAACACGCGTGCATACTCTATGAAGCCATTTTATTGGCATCGTTTGTTCGCGCTCACTTCCAAAAGTTTGAGATCTGTCTTTTCTTTCTGAAAAAATCAATTTCAATTTCTTTGTGGCATTAAATCACATAAACATAGCTATGTACAAAAATCCCCACAAAACTATGCCTACCTGTCAACAGCCTTATGCAGATTGTCACTGACCTAAAACATTCCGCCAACGTATTTCAGCTCTTTACCGGACTTTGCGGGAGGCCCTGAAAAGGACCTTTCATTTTTTTTTCAGTTTTAAGGTATGCGCACTCTAGGTTTAGCCTCCAAAGCCGTAGAGAGTGCGCCCCTGGCGTTTTAGCGCATAAACTACATCCATAGCGGTAACAGTCTTTCGCTTAGCGTGCTCTGTGTAGGTGACAGCGTCACGAATAACATTCTCCAGAAAAACCTTAAGCACACCCCGCGTCTCCTCGTAGATGAGACCAGAAATGCGCTTAACACCTCCTCGCCGGGCCAGACGCCGGATTGCGGGTTTGGTAATGCCCTGGATGTTGTCACTCAGCACCTTACGATAGCGTTTAGCACCACCTTTCCCTAAACCCTTACCTCCTTTCCCACAGCCAGACATGGTTTGTAATGCAACGACAATACAGAAATTGTTGTGCCTTAAATACCTCTCTTGCGGACCTGATTGAAAACAAAATGCGTTGGCAGAGTTTGTCCAAATTAGGTCACTAAGCGGGTGGAGCAAGCAAAAAAAAAAAAATGTTTTATTAGGATATCAACGTTTTGATTGGCCAGTGAAACCTTGCTCTTGGTGGGAAGGAAAGGTACAGATTTCATTGAACTGCAAAGCCTTAGTTTCTCTTTTGCCTTGCATTGTTCTGTCACCGCGCATCTACGAGTTTAAAGTACTGTGTTCCTATCAGCTCAATGACTCTGAGCAAAGAGACCCATTCCACGTTTCTTTGTATTTTCACTTAGTAACTAATGAATTAAGTAATTCCTTGGGGAAGGTACAAATATATAGGTTAAGGGACTTTCCCTCCTAGACATTTTACTATTCCTGTTTAAACCGAAGCGCTTTTATGGACTTCTCTGTGCTAAACAAAATATAAGCCTGGACACGAAACTCTGCTCCTAAAGGTCCTATATTTGAGAAGACAAAAAGGTAGACACCTAATTGCAAATTAAAACTTCGTAAGTGCAAATTTCTTCCTCTTTTCTTTCCCTACCTCGATTCAAATATGTATTGAGTGAGTCTTTTTTCTGCAAAAGTCTGTGTAAGAGGCAAGAAACAAAACTAAACTCGAATAATCGTTGCCCGTGGACCTTCTTGCTGCTCTCTCTGCTGCATCTATCTGTCTGGTGTGCCTACAATTCCAAACTCTTCCCTTCCCTCCTTTAATAATCCCCTTTCAACTTGCTCTAGCTTTAGAGAAGAGAACATAATGTTTTGTAGAGTTGGGGATTAATTGAAGTATAGGGCTAATCCTTGATTAAGGTCATTTCAAGGCCTATAGGGTCCTTGTCTGGCAGGCCTTTGATAAGATTATTGATGTTAAAACAAGGCTAATCCCAACAGAATTGGGTCTGAATGTGATTTGAAGAGAGACTTCTCAATTCAAAATTTTCTTCTTAGTTTCCTGTTGCTGTCATTGCAAATGTACATGGTAGAAACCACTCTTGTTTAAAAAGTAAACAAAAATTCACACCCCACCATCACCACCACCTCCCAGTTAATAAATAAGTGCCTATTGTGGATACTTAGAATGAGAATGTGGCCTGCGACATATTGTAACTTCAGACTTGCTCATATAAAGAGAAGAGACATAGAGAGGTAGAAAAAAGACACAGGAGAGGACAGAAACACTCTAAATGTCATATGGTTTGTAATACTTCTGAAATAATTAATTGGTTAGAGTCTTCCATCCCAAATTGAGAGATTTTAAATTCCTGACTGTCACTACGCACTCCTTGAGACAAACACACAGCTTATAAACAGGGGACTTAGTTAGGAAGGAATATCAAACATTACAGAGAAAAAGTGCAAGGACTGAGATCATATGTGAAACTCTGAAATATCAACATGCTTTTTGATTCATGAAAAAAAATAAAAATATAGTGTATACAATAATTTCATGCAAAAATACATGATATGAACTACCCTGAAATACATCCCAGCAAGTTTAATCTGCATTTAATCCAAAGGCCTAGGATGTCTTTCCTTTATTTTGCCTATTGTATCATTAATAAAACCTCACTTTTATTTTGGAAGGCAGCTATGCTCACAACTATACCACCAATGCTACCATCACTTTTATTTTGACATTTAATTTATTTTTTTCCTTTTAATATCTCCTTTTCTAATTTTTCTCAATGACCAGTCACTCAAAAACAAGGAATGTCAGGGCAAAAATTTAAAGAAGGCATATATATATATGTAATTATATATATAATATTATATAATATATATTATATTATGTATAATATATTATATATAATATATATATTAGGCTATATATATATTAGGCTATATATATATTATATATAATATATTAGGCTATATATATATATATATATATATATCCTTTCACTCTGGGAAGAATACAGGTATTACTCAATCATGTGGTTTGGGAGAAGAGTGGTTCACCCCTGAATCTATATGGCTTCCTGTTCTTTCCTTTTCACCTTCCTCTCACTTTCCAGGTGAACCTCATTCATTCAACATGTTGGCTAGGCCCTTCAGATAAAAACTCTACAAACAAGTTGTGGCTAATAGGACACACAAAATATTCAAACAAATAAAACTATGCTATTAATCAGAGGTCTTATAAAAATATGAAATGTCCAGAATTACCCTCCACAGACTAACTCTATCAGAATGCCAGATTTCAGGGATGGCATATGGTGTGTTTGGGGGTGAGTATACATCAGTATATGGCACCTGCATATTCAACAAACAATTCTGATATTAATACCTTGCCAATGCTGAGAACCACAAGCAATCTGTCTGGCACACATCATCACTTTTAAGTGTATAACTGCTTTAGTACAAAGTAAAGAAATCCCAGAGTAGAAATACTTTCGAGCTGTATTACAGTTGAGAGAATGCATAAGTACAGTGTCACCCTACTTGCACTGGAGCTTTATAACATCACAACAGTTATCTCCAGGATTTGGGGACATCACTCCTGGTCTTGGGCAAACAGCTTCTCTAGCCAATGACTGATTTATCTCACTCCCATCTAATGATTCACTGAATTTCTCTTTTTCAGCAACCTAGCCTATACTCTGGTTAGGAATATTTATTTTCTTATTCACTTTTCCTGAATTTTCCTGAACTGTAAGTGCCATTTGAACAACTTTGGTTCCATGGCACATATCCTATGTCTCTGCATATTTTTCTTACTTCCACTCCTTACTCTTGTAGGAAAATGTTCCTGCTTTTTCTTTTCAGTCTAAACTCTTTTACTAAAAGGTTTTTTCATTTGCACTTGCTAGGCTTGCTGTCCTTGTATAGGGAGTCTCCATAAACCCTCATATACTTTGGCCTATTAAAAAAAAAGTTATTTGGACAGAGAATTCTAACATTATCCTTTCTTAAACATTTGGTTCAAAATTTTTCTAAACACGGTGGTAATTAAATGTGGTTTTCAAAATTCCCTTGAATACTTTCTTAATTGCACACAGAAAACACAAAGTATTTTACATTTGTTTTATTGATGAAATTGTGAACCCAAATTTACACAAAGACCCATATTTAAAACAGATGTTTTCATATACAAAGTAAAATTCTTTTGGCAGTAATGAGGTTGGTTATTGATTATTTTATGAAAGTGCCATTGTAGTAATTCAGTTTAAGAAATAAACCCAGGATATTTACTTAACTCATAGACTAAAGTTAACTAGCAACACTTGCACTGAAATTTATGCAAATATTGGTACTTACACCCCCAAAGAGTGGATTGAAGACTCCAAAATTCTTTTCAGAATCTTCAGATCAAAAGCCAGAATTTGTTTTTTAAAAAATAATTAGAATAATATTTTGTGCCCAAATCTAGTGGATAAAATAGTTTGCAGACGCTTCAAGCTACCCATCCCCAAATTTCTCCCTGAATAATAAAGAGAGATTCAATAATTCAAAATGTGTGTATGAACCAAACAAAATATCCTGAAATTTAAAAACACACCTGAGAAATGTTTCAAAATATTTAGGGAAAAATAACAGGGAGCCTACAGAAAACATCATGGGTGCTACCACCGGGCAGCAGAATGAATATTTTTCAAGTAGTGTATTAACAATATGGTAACAATGCCACACCATATGTGTTCTTGACCCAAACATAAGTATTGTATAGTGAACTTGACTCTGAGCCAGAATGGCTGGAATAAAAATCCAGCACAACCATGTTCAGCTGTGTAACCTCTAACAAGTTAACTAAACTTGTTAACTAACAAGTTGACTAACTCACTGTGCCTTGGTTTTCATCACAACAAAATAGGGCAATAACATAATTCCTGTCTCATAGGATTCTTTGGAGGATTTAAACGAAGATTTAGAACAGAGCCTAACATCTAGTAAGTATTTAATAATAATCAGCTGAAAAAATTAGTTTGAGAAAAATATTTACGCCAAGGAAGACTTTCACTATGCAAATTCATCCATTCTGTATCTAGAAGATACAGAAATATCTATTTAAAACACATCATATGTATCTCTTCCACACCTTAAACGGTTACTCAGAAACAGAATGCTTGAGATACCAGAAAGCACACCACGCCAAGTAACAAATGTACGCAAAATGTCAAGGCAGCCCAGGCTTCTAATAAAATACTTTAATATTGTCTTAATATTCTACACGTTAGAGTGTAAAAGTTAATCACTGATACAAAAAGGGAAAAGAACACATTATGACCCAAAGTCTACAAAGAGAATCAAAATTACGAATACCAGCCTGCATGTGGAAATCTTCAATTTTGAAAGCTATGCATGTTTGAGTGCTAGTCATTATTAAATCAGTGTGATTAGGAAAAAAATAGTAGTTTAAAAATGATAGCATATAAGCAATTTTGGCATTTTAGAGAAAATGCTTAGTTTTTAAATGTATGTGTGTCCATGAAGAATGTTTTATAATACACAAAGTATACACAGCACCTTAAGATGACATTATTATAACATAACAAGAATTTTGGCCTGTTCCTCCTAGCAGGCCTCAGTCACCTGCTGTACTTGGCTCAAAGATTATTAAAGTTATTTGTTTTCCTTCTGTTCCCAGTTCAGGCAGCTTAACAGTGGCCTATGATTCAAATGACTGGTAAGCAGTTTCTTGTCTGTCTTCTCAAATTTTCAGCGGCTTTTCTCTACAAGTGGTCTCCAGTGTACCATCCTTGTCCTGCCCCTTACCAGCCGGAAAACCTCCAGCCTTGGCTCTCTCCAGTCACGTGACAGCTGGGCTGCATCCACCCATGGCCACCAGGTGTCACCCTTCTCCTTACTACCATGCTTTGACCCTGAGTGGTTTTGCCAAAGGGGAAATAAAATACAGAATTTAAAATTCAGGTCTTTGATTTTTCAAATGTAGTTGGCTCAAGAATTAATAAACACGGCCAGAAAAATTATGCTAAAAATATCCGAAACTAAGCTTAAAAACACTGAAAGAAAATGGTGATTTATAATTTTATTTAAAAATAAAATTAACAGGCCACAGTTGCCGATGCTTAGTAAATATGTTACTGTGAAGACTAGAGTGTTTCTTGAAATCTCAGCCCATGTGAAATAAAACCAATATAAAAAAAACTGTTACCTAATTAATTAACATACTCTTCATGAGGTAGAAGAGCAAGTGAAGCCTTTGGGCAGTCCGCTTTGAATATGGGATGATATTTAGAAAGAAGAACTTGTTAGTGTGTTTCCAGTGTGGTTTGGAGTTAAAATAACCAATGTCTTATAACACAGATGATAAGGTCCCTACGGTGAAGAAAAACAATTAATTCAGCCACCACAGTTCAATGAAAATATTCCATAAAACAAAATGTAAGAATATTAGAAGCAATACAAATATTCCCAAAGTGACAGATTAAGGTATACACATGAGATAAATGAGAACATCAGTAAAATCATGCTGTATACAACACAATTACACATTTATTAAAATATATATATTTGTTAATTTTATATCTTTTAATGCAGCAATAATACTAACAGGTAATATGCAAGTTGTTAATAAAGTTGATCACTGATTAATTAATTAAATAATAGCTTTACTTTTATTCATCTTTCGACTTTTCTGCAATGAGCACAAATTACTTTTGTTTTTTTTTTTTCATAACTTTCATAACGAGACAAAAACAAAAAAGGTTTTTAAAAAAATGTTGAAATCTCTTCACCCAAATTCAGTATCTACAAAACAAATTTTTGAGCTGTACTTGGCTCCTGAGGGGCATCCGCCCTCCAAGACAGAGTGCTTGTACCACAGCTATGCAGCCAAACATATGTAGTAGCATAAAGTAAATACATGCCCTCTGGAGATATATGTATGTGACTTTTGAACATGGTCAGATTAATCTCTTTCCCAGTATCTAGTAAATCCTGAGTGTCTAGGTTAGATGAATTTTTTGAGTGTGCACAATTGGAGATAAGAACCAGAATCCCAGTGACCCCAGCAAGATGATGCCTGGGCATCCTCAAGCCATTTGGTGGCTTCTGTTTTGATCATCTCAAAATGAGAGAGGTTGCTCCAGTTCACCGAGGGAAATACCACTCAGGAAGCACTGAGTGAGTGAGGACCCTGTGTCTAAAGCCCAGCACAGCCACTAAGTGTCCCCACCAATCACTATCCTTGTGTGGGGGCCGAAGATATAGATGCCAGAGAGAGCAAGAGAAGAGAAAAGGAGCCACATTCCAGGTCCTTCCCACAGGGACTTTGAAAGAAAACATGGCATGTGAGGATCAGTAGCTCATTTTCTGCTATTTCCCTTCATTTGGTTCGAGCTCACTGAGAAGAAGCACAATGTGACAAGAGAAGAGCCATCTCCATAGCCATCTCCGTCCCTCTCCATTTACTCTGTTCATCTAAACCACCAAAATGCAGTGGGATGTGAGATGGATCAAACAGCAAGAATGACTGTTTGAAACATGTCTCTATCCCCGGCAAGCTATGAGATACTCTGTACTTCACTTTCTCCATCAAAAAAAGAAAAAAAAATGGAGATAATAGTACTTACCATATGTAGTAAGGCATGTAAGTAGGTGCTTCAAACAGAGTCTGGCACCAACTAAGTGTTTTTATTTTTAATAAGTATTAGCCACATTATCATTATTACCACCATCTTTATCATGATTTTCATTATCAGAACAAGGAGAGAGGGTCAGCAGAGACCAGGTGGAAAATTATCATGGTGCTTCAGATCTGGCATACTAGAGCAGCAATGCAAATATAGGCATCATTAACCTTTGAAAGCCTATATGACATCTCTGTGCAAATTAGAAAAAGACACCCCTGCCCAAGGCCCTCCAAGACGCTTTCCCCCCACCTGCTAAAACACCCATCATAATAGACATAAATATCCATGATGCCTTTTCTAGGAAAGTTTGTGCAGTCCACAGCCTTCATAGCTGCACAACGACCCAAATCACACTTTGATGGAAGAGTCCCCAAGGCTTGGTGACAGATGAGTTACTGGATAACAGAAAGAAAGGATTCAAAGCAAAGTTGAACGAGTCCGGGAAATGCCTGGATATGTGTGCAAAATTCTAGTAGGGATATGAGTGTGCATTTCCCAGGGTGAAGAAGGTTCATAGCTTTTCTCATGTTTTCATATGTTAAAATGAATTGTGAGTCCTCAAGAGTTAAGCAACCCTCTTCTGGAGGTAGGAGATGAGATAGGTGTGTGGGGTCAGACATGATGGAGGAAATGAAGGAATCCTCTATATGCAGTTTGAGATTCACGAGAGACAGCTCTGGAGGAGAGGTCACAGGTGGGGTCACTGGCATGCAGGAACTCAAAAACCTAAATGAGGACATCTTTTTGAGAAAATGAACAGGGAAGACTAAAAGCAGAGAGTTCTTCATGCAGTTTCTGTCTGTTAGGTCCAACTCTGTCCTGAACATGAAGAGCTCCACAAGTATGCCCCTCTTTGAGTCTCTAGTTTTTTCTCCTCCCCACAATGAGTCTGCAGGCTGCACATCAGTCACATTCAGCCAGGACATAGTCCCCCATGGCTTCTCCTGTTAAGACAAGAGACCCAGGAGAGAGGCATCACAAACCTAGGCATCATCTTGCCTCTTCCCTGTCCCTCACCTTCCTCATTGGCCCATCTCAACTTTGCCCACTCTCATCCCAGGGCACTACTGGATTTATTTCTCATCTGGAATTGCTTATTGCCCTGATAACTGGTCTCCTCACCTCTCATCTCACCTTCTAACAACCCATTCAGTACACAAGGGAGATCGTGTCCCTCTTTGCTTATGTTCCTTCACTGACTCCCCAGTGATCATAACATAATGTCCCAAAAGTCACCAGGACTCTACACATCCTGGCTTCTGTCTGCCTCTCTATTTTCTACACCACAGATGTTCAAGGGGTAGAAATGCAGAATTGGTGCCTGAAAGGTATACAAAGTCAGGACAAGGTACATTAATTACTTCTCACCTCGCAATATGCCTCACCCTCTCCCACTTGGCATGGATGTTCCACCTGTGTAGACCTCCCTTCACCCTCAACTTCACCTGAAGAAATCCCACTTCTCCTTCAAGAATCAGAAGGCTTTCTTGATCCCTAGCTGAACATGATCATGCCTTCCTTTGATGCCCCAAAGTATCTCCTTCCTACTTGCCTTAGGACCTCAGGGGGTCTTCTTGAACTGCATCTACTTGTCACGGATTTCAATCCCTACTAGATTTGGGTTCTGAGAATAGCAACAGTGACTTTCTCAACCACAAAGCTCCTGCACTACCTTAAACAGCATTTGCAAAATAGCAGGTGCTCAAAAGACATTTCTTGAATTAGAAACTTTCATTATGGGAAAAACCATTAATTCCTTTCCTGCTCCCAGGAAGGTGCTAGTGTTCCCAAAGAAAATAAGAGAGAATAAACCTTCCCATGGATACCAAATCCCCTCTGCCCTCCCTCTGCCCCACTTCTTGCAGGAGGACAGCTGTATCCTGGGGTCAGAGGTACTAAGAGACTTCCTCCTTGTTTCTACTCACTTGAAGCCTGCCTCTTCCTTAAGATTCTGAACAAAGCTCCAATAAAGAAGATAATGACACAAACAGCAATCCCACTGATGACTCCAATGACCAGGGTGTCAGATGGTAAGGGCTCTAAAATAGTGAAAGCAAGTTAAAGCCTGTGATTGCCAGCCCCAGCCCAACCCCCAACAAAGAGCAGACCCTCCTCTCACTGCCATGTTGATCCCCCAGGGCCCTCTCTTCCTATCCCCCACCACTTCCCATTTTACCCACAACAGATTTTCTCAGCTTTTGGCTCTCATCTGTTACATACCCCAGGTGGCAATGAGGGGCTGATCCAGGCCTGGGTGCTCCACCTGGCAAGTGTATCTCTGTTCTTCCCCAGGGGGCACAGCCAAGGCTATCCAGCCCTGGTAGGTCCCATCCCCATTAGGCAGAATGTCCTTAGGCTCAATCTCCTTGGCATCCAGTGGCTGCCTGTCCCTTAGCCACTTCATGGTGATGTTCTGGGGGTAGAAGTTCAAAGCCTGACACCGAAGAGTGGTCACTGCAGAGGTCACATGATGAGTCACCTTCACCAAAGGAGGCACTGGACAGAAAAGAAGGATGAGGAGAAGGGATATTTTCACTCTGGCCAGGAAGCCTGGAACTTTCACTTCCTTCTACAAATGGGTTGGAGGAAGGAAATACCCTCCTACAAAAAAAACAAGTGGCAGGAGAAACACATACTATTTTGTGTCCTAAAACTCATTCCAAGATTGGGTTCTCATGCAGTGTCACATGGAACACAGTCACAGTCATATCAGCTTGTTCTCTTGTCCATTATGTAAATATGCATATCTTTTACCCATGTTCTCTGTTCTGACAGATGAAATTGCCTTTTATGTGCATCAAAAATGATTGAATACAAATGATCAGTTTCACCTGGTTCAACCTAGTAGGTATTCTTCTTGTGAGAAGGGGCTTTGTAAGAAAGCCAGCTTCAGTGATTATTGCCATGTTCTGTGAAAGAAATCTTTAACTTAAAGGAATCTGCTACTCTGATGGGTGACCTCACTTGTATTTCCTCATCTTGGTATTCATGTGACAGTTGACATCTCTGAATTCCTACCATGTATAAATACACATAGGATTGTTGGTTAAATAGAAAAAAGGCCATAGATACTTCCTCTTTGGACATATGCATGGAGAAAAAAAATTAAAACCACGACTCGTGGCTGTGTCATATATCTCAATTATAAGATGGAGACCCTAGGATTGGCAAAGTCCCTTCCCAGAACTTGGAGAGTCACACAACCTCAGGCACCTCTGAAACCACAGCCAGAGATCCCATGCCTTGTATCCTCCTCACTCTGCCAATATAGTGTGGGCACAGAAGGGTGTTTCCACCATACCTTGCTGGTCCAGAACACCTCTCCCCAGCTCCAGCAACTGCTGCAGGTGCTCAAGGCAGTCCCTCTCCAGGTACGCCCTGTTCTGCTTGGACCGAATTTTGTGCACTTCCCACTCCAGCTTGGTGGCCTGAGCCCTGGGCTCTGCTGCTCTCCAATTCAGCGTCTCAGGGCAGAATTCAAGGTGGTCCTGCCCATCATACCCATACTTCCAGACGCCCCTGGTGCTGTTGTCCTCTTGCATCTCACAGCCCAGGATCACCTGTAGGGTATGGGACTCTAGAAACACCCCCAGCCTTGTTATTGAAACCAAAGGAGTAGGTCCCTGTTTCCACCATCCTCAAGGACCAAACAATCTCAGGAAGCAAATGTCTTCCCTCTTCCCTGCCCCCCAGACTTCTAGCTCTCTCCCTCAAGATGCAACCCTGAGGTAGTAAAAAGCTCCAACGATCTCATGAAGGTGAGGCCCCCTCTCCACATACCCTTGCTGTGGTTATGGTTGTCCATGATAGTCCAGAAGTCAACAATGAACATGTGATCCCACCCTTTTAGGCTTTGACTCAGCTGCAGCCATAGTTGGCTTGAGGTTCTATTCCAGACCCATGGGGCTCGGGGCTCTGCTCGTCGACTCTCATGATCATAGTACACGAACAGCTGGTCATCCACGTAGCCCAAAGCCTCAAACAAGGAAGGTCCAAGGTCCCGCTCTGAGGCACCCATGAAGAGGTAGTGCAGAGAGTGCGAACCTGGAGAGATAGCAACAGGCCTTCGCCACACACAGCAGCGGGGACTGGGAGGCAGAAGCGCCACACACCTGAATCAACTCATACCAACAGCTGTGTCTGGTCCTTACCCTGTGAAAGTGAGACACAGTCCTGTCTTCCATCCATATGACAGTTGTGGCTGCTCTCTCCTCGTGTACCTCCCTCTGCCACATGTGGTTGCCACCCCTTCGCTGCCCCAGACCCTGACCCGTTACTCACAATCAGGCAGTTTCCCCTGGAGTGGACAGACTCTAGAAAATCCTAAGGTGTCTCTAGCCATGGTAGTTGAGCTCAGGAGTTGGTGCTTAGAGCAAATTAGATTCAAGTCCTGAGGAATTTGCTCTTGTGTCTTTTTTATCACTTCATCTCTAAACCTTTTCATGTGCAAATGTTTCCTGTGAAATGCTGGAGGATCTGCTGATAAATAGCTCAGGGCAACTTTTTAGTATCACAACAGTTCCCAAGCAAACACAGAAGGACCCTCTTCCCTCAGTTATAGGATGAGGGAGTTCAGAAATGCATCTCCTCCCCCCGCCCCCCCTAGTACCTAGAGCAGCACCTGGCACATAGTAGTTGCTTCATAAATACTTGTTGGAAGAATGACTAAACAATGGCTCTTAGATTTTAAATTCTGGCCCTGAACTCTAGACTCTTATAGCCAACTGCCTATATGACATCACCATTTAGTCACCTGACTGGAATTCAAACTTAACATGTCCAAACCCAGGCAGCTGATTTCCCCCCAAACTGCTCTTTCCTCTGCCTTCACCATCTCTGAAATGGCATCACCAATCAGCCCATTGCTTAGGCCAATAAAATAAAATGAAAATGAAATCATTAAAGAACAGTGCCAATTTTGACTCTTCTCTCATACAACATAGAATCCTTTAGCAACTTCCTTCAAAATATATCCAGAATGCAACCATTTCTCACCCCCTCCTCTCCTCCCACCCAGCCCACTCCACTACCTCTTGCCTGCACTAGTGTAACAGTACCCTGGCTGAGCTCCCTGCTTTTAGTGCTGCTCCTTTCATTCTGTTTTCCACATAGCAGCCAGAGCATTCTTTAAAACCTGTGGCAGAGCATGTCACTCCTTGGCTAGAATCCACACCATAGCCTATAGGGCCCACATGGCCCAGCTTGTGGCTCTTCTGAGCTCCTACCTGCTTCTCTGCCTCCAGCCCTGACACTCCTTGCTCTTCTTTCAACCTTACGGCTCTTAACCAGGACATTTTGTCTCCCAGGGGACATTTTTGATTGTCAAAAGTGAAGGAGTGCTGCTAGCATCTCCCAACTAGAGGGCAGGGATGATGCTAGACACCCTACAATGTATGCAACAGCCCCCACCTTCCCTCAACCAAAAAAAAAAAAAAAAAGTCAGTAGTTTTAAGAAAACCTGCTTCAACCCAACTTGCCAGGCCCATTCAGTTGCCTGAGAAGTGCTGCCCCAGTCAGTATCACCTTTATTTCCTTCAGGTCTCTGTTCAGCCTCAGAGAGAGGCTTGCCCTGGCCTCTCTGCTTCACATGTCTTCACAGTGCTCATCACTAGCTGACATTGTATATCTTTCTGCTCATTTGTTTGTTGTCCCCTCTCCCACTAGAATGCGAAATTTCAGAGGGCAAAGACTCGATTCCCTGCTCTCTTCCCTACAGCCTAGAACAGTGCAACACATGGCTGGGCTCATTCTACACTTGTGAACAGTGACTATTCTGTTCAACATGAAATTTTATTATTCAGCCTCTAACGCAGTGTGATGTCTGAAAATCACAGCTGTGACATGGAGACATGGGCTCTGCCACCAAAGTCCAATGTACCATAGAACAGTTACTAGTATGCAGGTCACTGTGATAATGCATATAAATCACAGAGCGCTGTGCTAGACTACAGGGCAAAATCACTGTCAGCTAAGATCAGAAGCAGTGGTAGAATTTGATTTAACATCAGAAAACCAGATTGTTTACCTTCTTTGTAACCTGGAAAGAGTTACTTAACTTGAGGGCCAGTTAACCACTAGTAAAATAAAGCTATTCATAGCTCCTACCTCTTAATGCTAGTGAGAGTCAAATAAAATCACAGATATGAATGTGATTTAAAACTGACTTCATTGCTTAAATGTTAATTATTATTACTTTGGCATCCTTTAGAAAAGGCCCGTTAATTACACAGCACATTGCAAAGTCAACAAAGCCTGGCTGAAAAAGAGAACTGTTATGTTCTGTTCTGTTCAAAGGTTCAAAAACAATATATACTTAATTTTCCAGTCAAAAGAACAATCGCCAGGAGTCGGGAAAGGCCCAAAGTAGGCCTCTTTCAGGAGCCTTCCACCTCCACCTCACCAAAAGGGGGTGGGGTGGAAAGAATTCAAATCCCAACCCGTCTCCTGCAGCAGTGCCGAGAGGGAAACCCCGCGCGGGTCCCGCTGTGAGTTAGCTCAGGCTGCCCTGCGGGCGCCCGGGCCCAAGTCGCCCTTGGTGAGAACTTCCTGTTTGGAGATGACTGGGGAAAAAAACTACACAGCGGACATTAGAAACAGCAACAAAAAATGAAATCGGAATCAAAGGAGCCCCTGGCTCAGCTCAAGTGATTAACTATTAGATTTATTTAAAAGCGTCACGGTTCGGGGAGGGAGTGGGTGGCTCCAAATGTCACTCGGAAGAGCGGGGACAGAAGCGCTCGGGGGAGGGGGCAGGTCCTGGGGCCAGGCACCGCGTCTGCAGCTTCCCCTCCCCGGGTCTGGACACCGAAAGTAGGGAGAAGGGACTGCGGATGGGCTGAGCAAGTCCTCCGAAGTTAGAAAACTCCCAAACGCTAAGAAAAGTTTCGGTTTTTCCTCCCCCGCCGTGCCCCTAGCTCGCCCGCAGCCCTCGGACTCACGCATCTGTCGCCCCTGCGGGACCGCGGTCCGCAAGAACATCAGGAGGAGAAGCGCTGGCCTCGCTCGCGGGCCCATTTTCCCGGTTCAGACCTCAAGCCCCGGCGCGTCCCCGCCTCTTTGCTGGGGCGGGGAAACAGAGACCGACCAAGAAGTCACCCTGGAGCCATTGCCGAGACTCCGGGATGCCCAATAAAACTCCCTCGCGATTGAGATCTCTTTCTGGGGCATTGGTTAAAAGACATGGGTCTCCTGAACTTGAATTTTCTCTCTTCTGCAAGCAGAGGTTATTGCTTGTGAGAGAGTGATCCAGCTGTCCCCCTAGTTTCTAAGTCCTGAGTAGGTGTTGCTGATTGGGCAAAATATATTTCACAATTTTCTGATCTAAATATTCAATAATTTCAAAATTCAATTATACATTTTTTTTTTTTTAAGACAAAGTCTCGTTCTGCTGCCCAGCCCGGAATGCAGCAGCGACATCATAGCTCTCTGCAAGCTCAAGCTCCTGGGCTCAAAGGATCCTCCTGCCTCAGCCTCCTGAGTAGCTGGGACTACAGACACATGCCACCATGCCCGGCTAATTTTTTTTTCTTTAATTATTTTTTGTAGAAACAGAGTCTCACTATACTCAGGCTGGTCTCAAACTCTTGGCCTCAAGCAATCTTCCTGCCTCTGCCTCCCAAAGGTGCTGGGATTATGAGCACGAACCACTGCATCTGGCCAATTGTACATTTTGAAACTTCTGTCTCAAGCTTAGTCCAACTTGCTGATTTTGTTATTTGATTTAGAAATATGATTTTTCATTTTGTTATTCGATTAAAAATTAATTAAATCATTAGATTAATAAATTATAATAGATCCTACTGAAACACTTTTCACAATTTACTTAAATGAATTACCTGACAAATGTTTCACAAACTTTACAGCACATTGGAATTACCTGGAGTATCATTAAACATACTGAAGCCCTGCTTCTCTTGCCCTCCTCAGGCATTCTGATTTAATTGGCATGGGTGACAGCTGGGCATTGGGATTTTAAAAGCTTCCCTTTCCTCCAACAAAGTTTGGGAACTTAGACATTTCAAACCATATTAACAACTTTGTTATATCTGAGTGCCCCAAACCTTTAAATATCTAACAAATTCAGCAAGCAATACCTTTCTAAGCATGCATGCAAATTTTGACAATTCAAGAAAAGGCATACTTAAAAATCAGGCCCTGTTAACTGTAAGCACATAGATGGAATAAGATTGGAAAAATGTTGAATATTGGTAGCTTGTATATCGGGATTGATGATTGTACTATTCTGTGTGTGTGTGTGTGTGTGTGTGTGTGTGGTGTCACAGGTTTATTGAGATATAATTCACATGCCATACAGTTCATCTATTTAAAATGTAAAAATCAATGGGTTTTAGTTATATTTACAGAGGTATGCAACTATTAGCACAATTTTAGAACAATTTCCATCTCCCCCCAAAGAAACCCTGTACCCTTTAGTCACTGCCTCCCCACATCCCTCCATCTTCCCTCCTCCCCAGCCCTCCACAATCAGTAATCTACTTTCCTTCTATTCTGAACATTTCATGTACATAGTCATACAATACATAGCTTTTTTTGGTAACTGACTTCTTTCACTTAGCATAACATCTTCATGAATGCTTTTTATGGACTAATAATATCCATTGTAAGGATATACCACAACACATTTTATTTATCCATTCATCAGCTGATGGACATTTGGGTTGTTTCCATTTTTTGGCTAATGGTAATAATGCTGCTATAAACATTCATGGATAAGTTTTTGTGTGGACTTATGTTTTGATTTCTCTTGGGTGTACATCTGGAGTGGATTTGCTGTATCTTATGGTAACTCTGTTTAACCTTTTGAGGAACTGCCATACTGTTTTCCAAGTAACTGTAGCATTTTAACCTCCTATCAGCAGGGTAAGGGTGTTCTGATTTCTCTAAGTTTTTGCCTGCCGAACACCTCTTATTGTCCATCTTTATAATTCTAATCATCCTAGTGAGTGTGAAGTGGTGTCTCATTGTGGTTTGGATTTCCACTTCCCTGATGACCAGTGATGTTGAGCTTTTCTTTCACCTGCTTATTGGTCATCTGTAAATCTTCTTCAGAGAAATGGCCATTCAAATCCTTTGCCCATTTTTTTTAATTTTGGATTTTGTCTTTTATTGTTGAGTTGCATGTGTTCTTTATGTTTTCTAGATATAAGTCTCATATCTGAGATGTGATATGGAAATATTTCCTTCAATTTAATGGGTTCTATTTTTACTTTTTCAATGGTGTCCTTTGAAGCATAGATATTTTTAATTTTAATGAAATCCAATTTACCTATTTTTTTCTTTGGTTACTTATGGTTTTGGTGCCATATCTAAAAGGCCAAATCCAAGATCACAAAGATTTACACCTATGATTTCTTCTAAGAGTTTTATAGTTTTAGTTTTTACATATAGGTCTTTGATCCACTTCAAGTTAATTTTTTGTATATATATGATGGTTAACTTTATATGTCAACTTGACTGGGCTAACAGATGCCCAGACAGCTGGTAAAATATTATTTCTGGGTGTGTCTGTGATGGTGTTTCCAAAAGAGATTAGAAGTTGAATCAGTAGACTGAGTAAAGAAGATCATCCTCACCAAATGTGGGGAGGCATCATCCAGTCCTATGAGGGCCCTAGACAGAGCAAAAAGGCAGAGGAAGGGCAAATTTACTCTCTCGTCCTGAGCTGGGACATCTATCTTCTGATGCCTTTAGCCATTGGAATTCCTGGTTCTTAGACCTTTGGGCTCCAGGACTTAACACCAGCAGACTCCTTCACCTCTTTCTCAGGCCTTTGGACTTGGACTGAATTACACCACTGGCTTACCTGGTTCTCCAGCTTCTGACTAAAATATTGTGTGAAGTAGGGGCCCAACTTTATTCTTTTTCATGTGATTATTCAGTTGTCACACAACCATTTTTGAGAAGACTATTCTTTCTTTATTGAATTATTTTGGCACTCTTTTAACCATAAATGTAAGGATTTATGTCTGGACTCTCAATTTTATTCCATTGATCTGTATTTCTGTCTTTATGCCAGGACTACACTGTCCTGATTACTGTAGCTTTATAGTAAGCTGAAATCAAGAAGTGTGATTCCTTCAAGTTTGTTCTATTTTTTCAAGATTTTATTGGATATACTGGGTATGTTGAATTTCCTTATGAATTTTATGATGTACTTATCAATATCTATTCTATTTTTGTGTATGTTTTTAGATTTTTATATGAAACAAATGCATTTTAGCTTTTTGGATTTCTTTTTTAATATGATAAAAGAAAATAGCCAAAATCAGAACTCTTGTCCACGTCAGCATTTGACGGGCAAGAGAAGGATAAACAGTTGACATATAAACAAAAAAGAAATGATCAACCATATTCTGAAAGCCGTAGAGTAGTTACAGGTACCAAAAGCTGCAGAGAAATGAAGTCAGATGCAATCTGAAATTTGCTCATTGTATTTGGACATTAAGAGACCCTAGATTTCAACCATAGACAGTTTAGTGGGAACCTGAGGGCAAATGGTCTAAAGCAAGTAAAAAGTTACAATTCCAGGTCTAAAGAGTAGACGGAGCTGATGAGGAAGAAACCTTTGACCCAATTTTGAATCACTTGACCCTGGCCCCACTTTCTGCTCCAAGCACACAGAGATACTGGAATTCAACATTCACAAAGGGTGGTACACTGGACATGACACCAAATGACTCCTTAAGATGTCAGAATCAGAATTAGGCCATATTAGCTGGGGCTCAAGTTTCCATGTACACTTGGAGAGGAGGTCAGTTTACAGGCCCATGCATGAAGGGAACTGGCACAGGCTATATTCATAGGTCAGGAACTGAGCTGGATCACCCCATCTGTGAAACAGAAGTAAGGAAATTTTATCCACACCTCAAAAAAGTGGTTGAAGAGCTAGTTTCCCTTATAAACCTAACACAGAATAGGGTAACGGATATGTGTTGAAGAAAGACATTGGGTGGGCAATATGTTGATGCAAAACACTATGTCCCCACATTCCACTTGTTAATCATCCTTTTCCACTCATTTGTGAGATGGATTGTGTCTCCCAAAAAGATATATTGTCCCAACCCTCAGTACCTATGAATATGACCGTATTTGGCATAAGGTCATTGAAGATATAACTGGTTAAGATGAGGTCGTAGTGGAGTAGGGTGTCCGGACAGGGTGGGAAGAGGGCAAGGGATTCCAGCTGGCAACTCATCTGCTCCGCTTCATACTCCGAAAGAGCTTTGCTTTGTAGGGGGCCAGAAAAGATAAGAGGACAAGCAGCAGTGGTCATGATGCAGATTAAATTTTCCCAAAGTGATGCTCTGAGTTCGGTGGAGCACCTAGGCCAGGCATTACAACTTCTGTTGTCCTGTAGACACATTGAGTCTGGGCGCTTACCTGCTGTGGGCTTATGCTAACCCGTGAAGTGTTAGAAACCTGGAAAAGGCTGGGAATTGAATCCTTTAAAGGAAGAAATCTCAAATTGTGTTCCCCAGACCAGGAGCATTAGCATTGCTCCGGACATGTTACAAATACAAATTCCCAGGCCCGATCTCAAACCTACTGAGGTACAACCAGTAAGAGTGGAGCCTACCTATAGATAGGCTCCAGGTTATCTGATGCACAATAAAGCTTGAACACCACTGTTCTTTAGGTTTCTCGTTTTATCTGTGGAGTATTAAGGGCGGGACAGAGCAAGGCTAGAATCTAATAAATCAACTTCCATTCCCTTCCATGAGTTCCATGCCTTTCAGTTCTTACCCTTGCAGCTGCAGCTCAAACTACATCTCACCAAAACTTCCAACCGGTATTATAAAATACATCATTTATCTGTTTGCTATGGATTTTGTGCATACTTCTAATTATAGCAATTAATTTACAAACTGAGTACCTATCTATGGGAGAAAAATTGAAACTGGACAAGCAAAAAGAACATAAAAAGCACCTGCAATCCCACCTTCCAGGGATAAAACTCCATTGACATATCCATGTATATTTTTTCCAGTAGATAGAGCTATAGCTAAGATATAAATTTTATAAACCAGGGTTATGACTTAATCAAGGATGTACAAGGTATCTCTGAAGAGGTGCAAGGCAGTCCTCACAATAGCTAGAACCACTCGAAGACAGCTCAAAGAAAGATAACTTTTCCCTAGCCACAAATGGGGCACAACTTACCTTTCTGTCTGACCATATTTTCTAGGGTTTCAGCTTCTCAGCTGACCAGCAACATACAAAGGCTCAAAAGTCTTGTGTGTCCCCCACAGATGGAAGAAAACAAGAAATCAAAAGCTGTCCATGGAAGAGAAAAGGATGGTACCTCAAAAAGCCAAAAGTCACACAAATACCAAACCAAGAGGGACTGGTTCCCTGACTAGGAATCAAACCCAGGGCCTGGCGGTGAAAGTGAAAAATTCCAGCTATTAGGTCACAAGGTGGAGTGGCTCTTGCTATTGATCCCATGGGCCATCTAAAGTGGACAGTTTGAGTGTACAAAAGATTTTAACTTTGTTTTGTGTCAGATTTTTGCTCTTTAATTTAGTAAAGAGAATATCTATGGCTAATTATGACACTATTGTGTGTCTGTCTTTTAATTTGATCTTCCCATCAATTATTTAGAAAAGAGATCTCTAGAATCTTTTCTTTGTCCCCCTTTTTTCTTTTCTTTCTTTCTTTCTTTTTTTTTTTAAATTTAGGAGTCCAATTTAAAAGATCCACCTTCTGGCCATCAACAATTAGAATTTCCAATGGTGACTCAATTCAACAGCCTCTTTAGAGAAGAAGCAATCCCAAAGATCCTCCCACACTCCCAGAAGTAGGCTGGCTAAGATAGACAAACTCTCCTGAGAGCTTGATACATTTGGAACAAAAAGTCTTGGGTTCCTGGCTGTTTTCAGATTGGCCACCTGACATGACCCAAAAGACATGCCCTCTCTATGGTGAAGATCAAGAGAATGCACCCACCTGGTCACAAGTAAAATTCTCAAGGACCTAAAGCAAGACAAGAGGGAATCTCAACCAGTAGCCCTCTTTATGACAGAACAACACAGAAAGTTAAAGACAAAAGAAAAGACTATTTTTAGGAGGAAACACATCAAATAATATGAATATTCATGCCACAAAGTGCCAAAAAGGACACCAGAGTCACTACACCAAGACTATTCACACACAAATCCTTTTCTCCCATTAATCAAAATTTTGCAGAGGAAACAATGATTTTTACCATGTGCTCAACTGGATTGCACAGAGATAGAGGGAGGGAGCCTGGATGCTAAACAATTTCTACTCTTTTGCCACCTTATCAGGTCCTGGATTCCTTTCACCGTGGCTTCCAGAAGAGCAGAGTGGCTTTGGTGATCCTGTTTGTGATGCCAAACTGTAGGGTCCACAGGAAAAGTTTCATTTTAGCCTCAGAAGTTTCAATGAAAAATCAACTCACAAAAAGTAGATTAGTTGGAGAAAAGGCATAAAGATTTATCTAATGTGTACACATGAGAGCCTTCAAAAGGAAGAACCAAAGGTACAGGGGAAATTGTCCATTTTTATGCTCAGGTTCAACAAAGTATGGACAGGTGTGTAAAAATATGATTGGACAAAAAGGGTATAATCTAATGCTAACAGACTGAGTAGGGAAATCCAGCGAGGCCTGTCTGTTTAGGTTCTTCTTGGCCTATCTGAGCAGCATTCCTTCCTTCTGCGTATGGGGCAGGACCCTCTCTAGAATTGGGGTCTTATGACCTGCAGTCAAATAAGGTAGGTCAGATAATTTCTTTATTGTCCATTTTGACGCAGAAAGGGAGAGGGAAAGCTAGGGTAGTATTTTTAGGTTTTATGGCTGGCTTCAAGAAAAAGGAGCTCTGGTTTCCATGATCCTTCTTTGGGAAAAGGGATTCTGGTTTCTATGGATAGCCTTAGGACTGAGAGAGAGGAGGGTAGGAGAAGGTCAGAAAAAAATTTTTGTTTCTGAGACTTTCATTTTGGAGTATTGTTTTCTGAGGCCCAACACTATCAAGGAGTTTACAATCAGGTTGAGAAGATATTCCCTGATAGAGTGAATAGCCAAATAGAAATGCTGTGGAGTTGTATTGTATTTACAACCAAAGCCAATGACGGAACAGGTGAAGATATAAATGTTCATGAGTTTGTAGTCCCCTTGACAACTTCTCTTTTAATGCAAATATCTATCACCTATGAGTTCAAAGATCTGCTTGTTCTCCTCCTCCTCCTCCTTCTTTTTTTTCGGTTTTTTTTTTTTCTTTTTTGAGACAGAATCTCGCTTTGTTGCTCAGGCTAGAGTGTCATGATGTCAGCCTAGTTCACAGCAACCTTAAACTCCTGGTCTCAAGTGATCCTCCTGTCTCAGCCTGACGAGCAGCTGGGACCACAGGTGTGTGCCACCATGCCCGGCTAATTTTTTCTATTTGTAGTTGCCCAGCTAATTTTTTTTTCTATTTTTAGTAGAGATGGGGATCTCACTCTTGCTCATGCTGGTCTCGAACTCCTAAGCTCAAGTGATCTTCCCACCTTAGCCTCCCAAGAGTGGTAGGATTACACTCCTCCCATCTTCTTCTTCCTTCCTGGTCCTCTTTAAAAAGATAGGGGTTCCCAGTGAATTTTAACTCCTGGGCTCAAGGGATCCTTCTGCCTCAGCCTCCTAAGCAGGTGGGACTACAGTGGTGTACCACCCTGTGCCTGATGCTAAAGATCCTACCCTTTACTGTACAGTGACCTTACTGGAGCTTCTCTGAACCTCAACCTGCTCATCTATAAAACGGGAGTAATAATTTCTGATCACCAAATGATACCCTATTTGCATGACTTTTTACAACTGCTAATGAAACCAAGAGGTTAATTTGATCAGGTCTGCCTGCCTTGCTTGCTTTTAGTTGCTTACCTTTTGTTATTTATTTATTTTTCCCCCTTTTCCACCAAGCTGTAGGCCACAGTGCTGCTGAATGCTGAAACTTAACTGCCACTGGTTACTTTGCAGATAACATTCATAAGTCACCATTGTAATGGTCCCTTCAGTTGTTTTTCAGGAACTTGGGCCAGCTCCTGTCCAGTTCAAACCAGCTGAGATCACATACTCTTCAACCGGGCCTGCTCAAGTGCCTGAGAGATGGCATTTAGACATTGGAGGGCTGAAAACTCCGCCCTCACACCATGCTAACACACCATTTTCTGTGCATGTGTCCTATGAAATGTCATGAATCCTGACTACGCTTGGGCAGAATAAACATGTTTCTTCATTTTCCCCACTGCCAATTACCTTTCCCCACACCTTGAAACACCCAACTTCCCTTACCCATAAATATCCCTATGCCTTATCTTCAGGGAGGCAGATTTGAGAGTTGTTCTCCTGCCTCTTCACTCTGTACATCATGGCCTTGTGATTAAATCTTTTCTCTTTTGCAAAATCCGACTCACAGTGATTGATTTAAAGTGTGCAGGCAGAACAGACCTGGACCTGAACAATAACATTAACAGGTATAGACACCACTAGAAGGTAAAAATTATAGATCTGACAGATTAGGAATATACTGCCTACAATACATTTTGGTTTAGAGTGCCATGTTCCTCTCATTAGAACTAACACCACACAGTAGTACGCATAAATGTCTGGTTCAGGTGGGGAGAGTTTGAGGCCAAGGGACAACTCTTTTTGTTGTTATTCTTCAGCTCTTTCATGGGCCTAGACACTTTCAGGAAGAAAATTTCCTCAACATCTAGTATCTTTCACTGGAAACTGTCGCTATATATTATTCGTTATTGATGAGAAAACAAAGTTTGCTATTGTTTACTTTTATATAAACTGAGTTTTTGTAAACCGCCCTGTTTTTTCTCATTTCTGATATATGTATGCGTATGTTTTAAAGGCACAGGAATTATAATCAATCTGCAAGGCAACCAAAATTATATTGTAAAACTTTTTAAACGGTTTAAATCTAAATTTTCTCATTTGTAAAGAGGTAATAATAACAGTTATTTCAAATGATGATATTTAGAATTAAATTTAAAAATCAGAATTGATAAATGAAGCCCTCAGTGCAGTGCCTGGCATATAATCAAGGCTAAGCCAGTTTTTACTGTTATTACATACCCTCATATACTACTACTACTACTACTAACATCAATGACATTGCATATCTGAGGATATTCCTCTCTACCACGTTTGG